GCAGACTCCCCGCTGAGCAGGGAGCCTGATGTGGGACTCGATCCCGGGACTCCAGGATCATGACCTGAGCCGAAGGAAGTCGCTTAACCAACTGAGCCACCCAGGCGCCCCTCAAATAAATAAATCTTTAAAAACAAAACGAAACAGGGGTGCCTGGGTGGCTCAGTCGGTTAAGTGTCTGCCTTTGGCTCAGGTCATGACCCAGAGTCCTAGGATCAAGCCCCATGTCAGGCTCCCTGCTCAGCAGGGAGTCTGCTTCTCCCTCTGCTCCTCACTCCACTCGTGCTCTTTCTTTCTCATTCCTTCTCTCAAAAAATAAATAAAATCTTTAAAAAAACAAAAATAAAAATAAAAACAAAACAAAAGGAAGGTACTTGGACCCCACATCTCGATTAAGGGAGTAGCTGCAATTTAAAAATGATCATGATGTATATCGCCTCTTAGGATTCTTTTTGGACCAGGTTCAGGCCTCATCTAGATCTGTATACTAGAAGGCCTCCTACCAAATTTGAGGCTACCAAGGCTTAAAGGGGATTTGGTGTACTGTAGGGTTAACTTTGTGATACAAAGAACCTCTGTCCATCAAAATGTATAGGTGGTCATGACAGTTTAGCAGGCCTCTTCTGTATTCTTCCTTCCCATAGCTAAGAGTGCATGATTCTAGACCTTCTTCTGGCTCTTCCATCATATATGATTGCTGTCTTTTTTCTGACACACAAATCTGATCCTTTTACTTCCCTGTTTACAATCCTCCAAGGATTCCCCATCATCTCTAAGATAAAGTTCAAGGCCATTAGCATCACCTATAAGCCCCTTTATGATCTGACCCGGACCACTGAAAAGTCAGATGCTATACTATTGTACAAAATATGGAAAGACAGTGTTTATATAATTACTGAGTTCAAATCCCAGTTCTGTTGGGACTCATTAATTTCCTAGAGCTCAATGGAGAACCTTTCTTCCCTCAGTTGATGGTAGTGTACAACAAAAATGGCCTAGTTGCCACGGTTTCTTTGGTAAGCCAGTTCTTGATGGCCCAAACCTGCAGGTGGGTTCTAGTTCTGGAGTAATGCTCCCCTTCGATGCTTAGTCCTTTGTACTGATGCCAGCTGTTGGTCCCGAGTCTTCCAACATTTAATTCTCAGGGGCCCTGACTCCTCCAACATTTAATTCTCAGGAGTCCTGCCCTTTCAGGTAATCTGTATGCCCTTGGTCAGGGCCTCCCAGACCATCATACACATTTTAATAACTTTCAATCTCAAAACATTGAAGAAGGGATTAAGAGGCTCCTTTGTCCATAGAGACCCGTCTATGGACAAAGATGCCCAACAGCATCTAAGGTCCATATAGCGATTAATAAGTGTGTCTGACACAGCTTAACCTGTTTATAGGAACTGAGCCCAGGTCCTGATTCAGCCAAAATGTCCTAGAACATCTGCATTCAATTTCAGGGTATTCATGGATCCCTTGAGGTAGGGTTGCTGGATAAAACACAATGCCCAGTTAAATGTGAATTTCAGATAAACAATGAATAATTTTTAAGTATAAGTATGTCCCATGCAGTATTTGCATGGATAATGTATGGATAATTATACATATTTGTGGAAAGAGGTCCAAACAGCGTCAAAAGATCTAAGAACTCCTGATGCAGAATTTGCTGAAGGAACTGATGTGTTTGAATGACCTGAAATGGGTATGTAAAACTACTACATGCAACATACTTATATGAAAAACTATTCATTGTTTATCCAAAATTAAAATGTAACTGGGCATTTGTGGGGTTTTTTGTTTGTTTTGTTTTTGTTTTTTTACTTAGTAAGTCTGCAACCCTTAAGGCCAACCACATCTGTCTTAGGTTCATGGATTATAGAACTGGTACAGACTGAGAAAAGAACTAAGTGTATTTTTTTTTTTTAAATCTTATTATTTGACAGAGAGAGCACAAGCAGGGGGAGAGGCAGAGGGAGAAGCAGGCTCCCCGCTGAACAGGGAGCCCGATATGTGGTTCAATCCCAGGACCCTGGGATCATAACCTGAGCTGAAGGCAGACGCTTAACCGACTGAGCCACCCAGGCACCCTTAAGTGTATTTCTTCTTTTACCAAATTATTTATCCATTTAACATAGAAATACCAGGGTGAACTGGAAGAACCAATTCCAATTCCTTTAGCTCTAAATGTCAGGACATATTACCGTCTTTGGGTTTTACATTGTTACAGAGTGACTATGAGACAGTGATGAGACAGTGCCATCAATTATGGCCAGTAACTTCCTTGTTAAATTCCTAGAGCGGAAAGATATTGCCCAAAGTTCTAGAGATGGCCCACTTGGAAAGTTAAGTTACATAAATAGCAGATGTTCAGCCTGACTAAGGAAGGGAGCTGAAACAAGTACTCTCAATTACTCAATAATCCCCTGAGGTTGGGACTAGAACTATGAGAGAAAATTGAAATCTTCATTTCTATCTTACCATTAAGTCCTGACACAAGCCAACAATTAACCCCTTTCTTCTCACCACTATTTGTAATTCCATTATCAGGCTAACCTTCCTACCAAATTCTTCTACAGCAGTTCTTTTCTTATTTTTTTTTTTGTTTGTAAATTTTCTTTGGAAAAAAGAAATATGGTAAAAAAGTTCAAACAGGGCGCCTGGGTGGCTCAGATGGTTAAGCGTCTGCCTTTGGCTTAGGTCATGATCCCAGGGTCCTGGGATCGAGTCCCACATCGGGCTCCTTGCTCAGCAGGGAGTCTGCTTCTCCCTCTGCCTCTCCCCCTGCTTGTTCGCTCTCTGTCTCTCTCGCAAATGAATAAATAAAATCTTTAAAAAAAAAAAGTTCAAACAATGCAAATGGTTATACAATGACCCATGATGACCCTTAGCCCCCGGACCGAAGGTTCCTAACTTGGCTTACGGACCGGAGTCTAAGTTAGAGTGTCTAGACCCATGTGAGATCCATGAATGCATGATTTTCAATGTACTGATAATGTGCATTTTTGTGAGGAAAAGGATCCAAACTTTTACCTGAGCCTCAAAAAGGTCCATGCCTAAGAACTCTCGAGGCAGGATTTGCTGAAGGGACTGACGCGCCCGCGTAATTCGGCACGGGAGAGGATTACTCGTCCCAGTGTAAAAAGCCCACCCCCATCCACCAGCTCCGGGCCCCTCAGAAAGTACGTTCTCTGTGGAAAAAATCACGGCTCTTTTCTTCCCAAGTTTTCCGCCTGCCGCATTCCTTCCCTCCCGCGCGTCGGCGTGCGCTGACGTCATGACGCCGCACACGCAGCCCCGCCCCTGCAGAGCTCCGCGCTGGGACGGAACCCGGGTTTCTCTCAAACACGGAATGTGAGGCCTGGGCTTGGCTTTCTCTGGCTCCGTGCCCCGCTGTTTACCCGGGCCTGCGTGCGACGCTGCTACCCTACAGCTCGCCCGGGAGGAGCCAGGGCGGCTGTGCGCTTCTGCCCTGCGCCCGCGTGGCTGCCGCCGCCCGTCCGAATCCTCCGGGGCCGCAGAGGAGTTCGCTACGGAGGGAGGCGGGGGCCTTCGGGAGGAGGAGGCGGAGGAGGCGGAGGAGGAGGGAAGGAAGATGGCGGCCGTGGAACTAGAGTGGATCCCGGAGACTCTCTATAACACCGCCATCTCCGCTGTCGTGGACAACTACATCCGCTCCCGCCGAGACATCCGCTCCTTGCCCGAGAACATCCAGTTCGATGTTTACTACAAGGTACGGGCGGTGGGCCTGCTCCCCGCTCCCCTGCCGCAACCCCTGGGGCCGCACCCCCTTCCACGTCTGCGAACCCCCGCAGTTAACCCCTCACCCCTCGTAGCAGGATCGCCTCCCGAGACATCTGGTGCGGTCTCCGGGTTGCAGTATAGGAATACCCTGTCTCCATATCCTCTGACTTTCAAGCTCTTGGGCCTTGATTGGTATCTCTTCCTAATGAGTCTCTCCCGGTTTTTTGGTGTTCCCTCCTACACTGTGTCCCCCCACCATGGGTAGGCCTTTTGCGTGGACTTCCTCTATTGCGCCCCTGTCCCACTCAGTCCACTTCTAGCCTTTGCCTTCAGGATATTTTCTGCCCTTTCTTACCCAGATTGTCAGCATTAGCTGAACTTTTTGATCTGCTCTTATCCCCCCTTCCTACTTTCTCCTCTTGCCGCCTCTCTTCCCAAGTATTTTTTTCTGCTTCGTGTTCTTCGTTTCTCCTTCCTCATCCTAATCGTGAGGGAATTGAGGATTTACTGGAAATAGTTGTGTGCTTTATTCGCATATTCTTTAAAGCTTTGGTTTTTGTTTATACTTGGGGTTGAATTGGGGATTTTGTTAATATGTGAGTGGTGATAAACCATTTGAAAGGAAAGGGGGCAATCTTTCCTGAAAGGAAAAAAAACAACTTTAAATTATGTTCATGTATTTGGAAGTTGCAATTTTGCAGCATTCCTAAATAGCTCCCCCTCAGAAATCTGAACAAAGTCTCCCAAGTCACTCTCCAAGGAGTTTCAAGGGTAAGTATCTTAGACGTGGACAGTTTTTTGCAGTGTTTGGAGAACTTTATGGACTCGGAGCCTCCCTCCCCCCACCCCAACATTTGAATGTGAACAGTGGACTTATTATTCAGTCCTCATTGCCTTGAATCTGCGTGGATAACTCTTCAGTAGCAACCCGTGCAAAATGTGACCAGAAGTGGAGTATGATTTATTTTTTAGATCTTAAATACTTCCTCTTGATTAGTAACTTGGCTAGAACACAGTGTAAACTGATATCTAACAGATGTGTATGTTCTTATATATATATGTGTTTTATGGCAGTTGTTTTATTGGGAAGATTGCCCACTTTCTCCACCCCAGCATATTTTTTCAGAAAGCAGCTGACTTGCTACATTCTACTAAATCCAGCTGCATTACACCAATTCTAACAATTCAAATGGTTTTTTCCCCCCATAAATATTTGGAGAAGATTTATTTTGGTTATTCATTTTATTATTTGGCCCTGGGGTAGTGAAAACCTCCCTTCATCCCAAATCCCTTTGATAAATTGATTTACTTTTGTATGTATCTAAGGAAATTTTGTATATTTAAGATTCATTCCTCCCAAGGTAGGGTGACTTTAAATTTGTCTTTCTCAGCCTGGGAAACTACAGCTTTGTGTGTATGCTTACTCTGTCCATTCTATTAAATCTTATGTAATCTTTTACACACTCCTAAGAGGAAATAATTGGAAATTCAAGCAAAGTACAGTTACTGCTTGAATTCTCTCAGAGTATACTTGACCATCTTCTAGTCACTTTTGCTCCTAATTGAAGCTTTTCATTTGCAGATTATTATTACTAGTATGAACAGATAGTGCGTTTGCCACATTTTCTGTGTCACATAGTTCACGAAGTTTTGTTTTGTTTTTTTGTTTTCCACAAAGTTTTAATATTGCTTCTTTTGGTACATTTCTAAATAGTTCTTTGTTTAGAGTGTGGCATTGTGCTAAAGTGAATGAAGGAATGTGCCTGGAACTGTGTTAAGTGCTTTTACACGTGTTGTCTTGATTAAACTATAGAGTAAGGCATAACCCTATGTTAAAGGTGATAAAGTTAAGTAATTCAGTCAAGGTCTAATACTTAGTATTTAGGTTCCTGTGTTCCTTGTTTTTCTTGCTGGAGAAGATTTTGCATTTTGAGGTAATTGATGAAAGACATTTATAGAACTAATTCCTGGACTTGAATCTTTGATGGAAGTAGAAGGAACTTTTCTTACTTTAAAACATGGTATCAGTACATAAATATAAATACTTTTTAAGCATTTTAATGCATATGAATATAAGATACTCATCCCCTGCCCAATTTGTGAATATTTTAAGAGGCTGCTTACAAGTTTCCAGTTTTATCTAATTTCGAACCAAGGAGAAAGTCATAATCAGATTCCTTCAGCAGTCCCAACTTCCATCAATAGGCATAGTCACAGACAAAATTATAATATTTTTGGAATCAAAAAAACCCCATTCCTCTTAAATATTGTAGTCCAGTGTCACTGTGTTAATTTTTTTGTGAGTAGCTTCCTAAAGCTTTAGGAGATGGGGTTATGGAATGTATGGGAGGTGAAGTAGGTATGCTGACTGCTCCCTAAGGAAGGGAAAGGAGATAGGTGTTGATACATAGAAAGGGTAAAATGTAAAGGGATTTTTTTTTTTTTTAAAAGAATGGAAGACATTAGAATATATTTATTGGCTGAATGGCAGAAACCAAAATGGAATGAGAGTTTAATTGTACAAGTGAGGTGGGAAATGAATTACGAAGCAGAGTCCCTGAACAGGAGCATTAATTAATGAGTCTTGCCTCTTCCTTCACCGTGCATAAATTAAGGTATTGGTTGGGGAAAGAATTGAAGTTGGGGAAAGAATACTTGTTTCTCTAAGATCAGATGGAAGGAGTTGGGGACATAAAATATCAGCATAGTTAAGTTTGCAAAGAATGGTTGTTGTGAATGGTAAGGTCATCTGCTGAGAGTAAGGGTAAGAGTGGTGGCTTCTATGTAGGAAGGCTAAACTGAAGTTGGAAATGGCTGCTGATGTTTATGGGAAGGGAAGTTCACTAAAAATGTGTTTTAAAAAATGACAGGTGGGGAGCGCCTGGGTGGCTCAGTTGGTTAAGTGTCCAACTCTTGATTTCGACTCAGGTCAGGATCACAGGGTGGTGAGATCCAGCTGGGCGTGGGGCTCTGTGGTCAGAGGGAGTCTGGTTGGGATTCTCTTTCCCTCGCCCTCTGCCCCCCCCCCACCATGCGCTGTCTCTCTGGTTCTTAAATAAATAAATCTTTTTTAAAAAAAAATGCAGGTGGAAAAAATAAAATTTTTAAAATGACAGGTAGTATAGATGGTTCAATAAAAATCCATATATTACAAAATAATGTCTTTGAATCTGAATAGCTTTTAACCAAGGGTGCTCAATCATTTAGGTTTAAGAAATGGAAAGATAAATAGAAGGAATTGTAAAATTGTATACCACGTGAATGCAAATAGAGTGAAGGGCTGGGTTTTTTATATTTTTTTTTATTTTTTATTTTTATTTATTTTTTAAAGATTTTATTTATTTGAGAGAGAGAGAATGAGAGAGAGAGAGCACGAGAGGGAAGCGGGTCAGAGGGAGAAGCAGACTCCCTGCTGAGCAGGGAGCCCGATGTGGGACTCGATCCCGGGACTCCAGGATCATGACCCGAGCCGAAGGCAGTCGCTTAACCAACTGAGCCACCCAGGCGCCCAAGGGCTGGGTTTTTTAAAGAATGAAGTTTACGAATCTTTCAAACTGCTGAACGGTCTATTTTGTGTCCTATTCCAATTACAAAATTGGCCATAGAGTTAAGTTTTGGCTAGGTGAAGTGTTTCCGTAATGTGTTCTATTTATTATTTTCAGTCTTAACCTTAACAATTTTGGTTTTTATTATAATTGTAAGTCTTATGCTGGAAACCGTACAAGTTAATGCCTGACTTTAGAGTTAATTTTTTCCTTTTCTGCATATATTTCTGTTGTATAGCTGTATAATGCCTCAACTAATATTCTGATAATCTTTTGTTAACAAATTGAAAAAAAATTTTTGCAATATATTTACAGCCAAAGAGTTAATAATGTTTTCATATAAAGAGTTCCTGGGATTAATAAATTGAGAACTAAAACTATGGGGGAGGGGCATAAAAGACCGTAAATAGCCCACCATACCGTGTATCTCTCTGGATGGTAAGGTAATATGTTATAAATAATGTCAGCTCATCTAGGTTTAAGCTGTGAATTTATCTGATATATGAATCAGGCACTCAGAACTTTATTGGTATAGGAAAGTGATTAAATATGAAGTTCATCTGGGGGAATTGATTATTGAGAATAAATGAGTCAAAGAAATTTTGAAGATGTACAATGCTTAGGAGAGATGTGAGTTATAGTAAAGTATATGAGAAAGGTACCTATTTTAGAACAGTGTAGTGTTGGCACAAGAACAGCAGAGAGATAAATTATAGAGCATAGTAAGCAGTCTAGATAGAAATCAAAGCATATTTAAGAATTTGTTAAATGATAAAGTTATGAGACAATGCTATATTCTAAATGGGGGAAATATCTAAAAATACCTTGGGCAACTGGCTGTTTGGGGATCTCTATGTCACACTATATATTACAATGACTTCCAGGTGAATTAAAGATTTAAATATGGCTGGGGTGCCTAGGTGGCTGTCTCTTAAGTGTTCGACTTTGTTTCATCTCAGGTCATGGTCTCAGGATTGTGGGATCAAGCCCTGTACTGGGCTCTGCTTTGTATGGAGTCTGTTTAAGATTCTCTCTCTCTCCCTTTTCCTCTGCCCCTCTCCCCACTTGCTCTATCTCTCAAATAAATGGATAAAATCTTGAAAAAAAAAGATTTAAATATGGCAAGCGAAATCATAAAAGTATCAGACTAGGGTGCCTGGGTGGCTTAGTTGGTTAAGCATCTGACTCTTGATTTCGGTTCAGGTCATGAGATCGAGCCCTGTGTGGAGTTCCAAGCTCAGCTCACAGAGTCTGCTTGTCCTTCTCCCTCTGCTCCTCTCCACCCTCCCCCCATTAAACAAATAAATGAATAAATAAACTCTTTAAAAAAGTATCAATAAATTACTGGGTCAGTGTCTTGGAGTGGGAAATGACTGAAATTTCTTCTTTAAACAAATTATTAAGGGCACCTGGGTGGCTCAGTCGGTTAAGAGGTTGCCTTCAG